CTTTTGGGCTAATTATCTGGCAGCATCATTAAAACAGAAATACTACCTGCCTTAACAGAGCGATTCAGCGGTGCACACAAACCCACGCACATGTGCACACCCCCAGAGCATGGGCCTAATAGCATGGGACAAGCTATAATTAACTAGATGGAGGAGTCCATCTTCCTTTGTTGCTGCAATCAGTTGTCACTCTCAGCTGTGTTTTGTGCTCTCCCCATCTTCTTAGGTTTTGTGACTTTCTCATTTTAAGTGCTAAGCACACAAATGTGGTGCTGGGGAGTGGAGGTGAGGTTCAAACTGCCTTCAAGGTTTCCTTCATTTTCTCCTCTACCCTGAAAATTGCCCTATCTAATCCTTAAAGAGAACTGCTGTGAAATTACATTGCTCTTTTGTATCATTGTACTCTGAAGCTACTTTAAAGAATGTCCTTCTGGCTTCATAAGAATCCAGTGTTGGCCTTTGAGACTTTGTGCAATTAGAGCCACTTATTTTTACTATTTTTATATAGAAAGCAGATGGTTAACTTTTTAAATAAAAGTAATTATTTGAAATTATGTTTTGAAGTAAAAGGAGATTACTATTAAACTTTAAGAAAATAATACTGATTTGGTAGTAGTTTAAAGAAGTATCAAGAAACCTCCCAGATCTAAATAGGAAAAGTCAGTTTTGGCAGGCATAAATCATAGCCAGAGAGCAGAGTTTATTTGTTTGTCTGCCCTAAGCAATGAACATATTATTTTAATAACAAATCAATGTTCTGAAGAAGTTAGGCACTTTCTCTTCATGTTACTGCTAAAGTCTGAAGAAGCTGAGGCTCCAGAGAATGAGCACAAGCAGATGCTTATAATTATTTAAGAAACCTGTTGAGAGCCCTCTTCCAAAGCCATGTGCCTGTCCTTACTGTCACATTTGAAGTTCAGGAATAGCAAGTCATTACATTCCCAACTTCGACATAAAATTTTGTTGCAGGCAGATAAGCTATTTATTCAGAGGGTTTCCTAAAACTTTCCCAGAGCATTTGCTACCCACCATTTTTGTTGGGCAGCAGTTGTGCTCAGGTGGTAGATTATTATAAAAATTACTAGAAAGCACTCAACCCCTGGACCACTGTGACTCATGTAGGTTTGTGTCAACCTTTTCCCATTTTTACCCTGGCTGAGTTTGCAGCCCTGAGGCTTTAAGCAGGGTTTCATGTTGAACAAAACTAAGATTAAAAAGAAAACATTTAGGTGGAAATCCGTCAGTTTTGGCAGGCATAAATCATAGCCAGAGAGCAGAGTTTATTTGTTTGTCTGCCCTAAGCAATGAACATATTATTTTAATAACAAATCAATGTTCTGAAGAAGTTAGGCACTTTCTCTTCATGTTACTGCTAAAGTCTGAAGAAGCTGAGGCTCCAGAGAATGAGCACAAGCAGATGCTTATAATTATTTAAGAAACCTGTTGAGAGCCCTCTTCCAAAGCCATGTGCCTGTCCTTACTGTCACATTTGAAGTTCAGGAATAGCAAGTCATTACATTCCCAACTTCGACATAAAATTTTGTTGCAGGCAGATAAGCTATTTATTCAGAGGGTTTCCTAAAACTTTCCCAGAGCATTTGCTACCCACCATTTTTGTTGGGCAGCAGTTGTGCTCAGGTGGTAGATTATTATAAAAATTACTAGAAAGCACTCAACCCCTGGACCACTGTGACTCATGTAGGTTTGTGTCAACCTTTTCCCATTTTTACCCTGGCTGAGTTTGCAGCCCTGAGGCTTTAAGCAGGGTTTCATGTTGAACAAAACTAAGATTAAAAAGAAAACATTTAGGTGGAAATCCAGGTTTTCTTACAGGATTCTTCTGGAATTGGATGGCTGTTGGCACAAACAATAGTTGTTTATGTGAATAGTGTGCTTTGGGGCCTGATGAGTTCATTTAGCATCCTGAGCTTGGTGAAAGTTGTGCTGGCCTTTATGGGCTGCTCTTGATGCCCCAATAGCATGGTTATGGTTATCTCCCCTGTTCTAGCAAAATCTAGTCTAATTTGCAGATCTGAACAATTCTCGTGCCTCTGGCACTGGTTTGTTTGATGCTCTGCTAGTTTGTCTCCATAAGCAAGTGCTATCCCATGCCACCTTGAGATTACATTGACTTTTATGATTTGAAAATTGCTTTAATGTCTTGTTATATCTTAAAACAAATGTAAAGGTGAGACAATGATGTCAGTTCGTGTTTTCAGTGTTGATTTTACTGTGACTAATTTGGGGCCTTTGTTATACATGCTGCAAATGTCACAGATTTTAGATCTCAATGGTTTAAGGTTTTGGTTGTTAATGACATTTTGTTGGGGATAAATACACTCATTTCACTTCTAATTTAAATTTAAAGGGAGAAAAATTTTCAGATGAGAAAAGCTGATATGTTATTTCATTAAATATCTAATAATGAGTCTAGAATTCTGTTTGTGTTATCTTTATTAAGCTAAGGATCTGTGTAAATGGACAACTTAAGAGAGAATATTTTTTTTTCTGCTATATCTCCCAGTCTACATTCCTTTCTCTTCCTGTTATAAAAAGAAAAAAGTAGCATTTGTTGTGGGGGCGTTATTTTTCATTAATCTCCCTACTTCCATTGTTCAGGTGGGACTAGAAGATCAAGAGTTACATTCAGTACTTACAGCTGCTGTTGTTTTTCAAATTTGTCAAAGAATGGAAAGAGTCAGAATATTTCTTAGGGAGACTTTCTTTTTCAGGCATTTGAACCAAGGCCAAACCAGGGGCCAGATGGTGGGTACACTTCAGAGGTGTGCTCACTCCTGCACTGCAGGAGAAGAGCTTTCTGGGCTGCCCCTGACAGAGAGGGCACACAACATTGGCCCTCTGGGGATGAGGATAAAAGGGGTGTTGACATTCCTGACATTTTGAGATTTTTATAGCTCTTTTGTGACTGGTGAAGAGAGAAGGGGTCTTCTTGTGATATGATTCAGAGTGTTTAGTGCAGATTTGTGCTTTGAATACTCTCTGGAGGTTTCATGTTGTCAGTATCCCTCTTCCCAAGTGGACAAGGCCCCTTCCATCCCCAGCAGCTGTTGGTGCTGTGCCTCCTACAAGGGCTGAGTGCTTGAGATCCTTATCTTTGCTCTGGGTCTGATGTCCCCTCCCTGTTTGGCCAGCTTCAGCTGCATGTCATAGTTTCACCTTCTTGTCCTTTCTCCTTTTTCACCGTTGTTACTGGATCACTGCTTTGTAGGTCCCAACAATTATACTTTTGTCTCGCCTTTTACAGTGCCTTTTAGAGTGACTTTCAAATGCCCATTTGGACAGACCTAAAATTTACTTATCAAGAATGATGGGGTCAGTGGCCATAAATAGAGACACAAGTTCAACACACACTGCTAGCAGAGCAAAACGATTCAGTGAAATTATATATTGTAATTTAAACCAGAAATATGTCCTACAGTTTCAAGTCTGTTATGTTTATTTATAGCTAAAAAGCCTAAAAAAGTCTAAACCTCTGTCATGTTTCTGATTATTTTTCTAAATCCACAATAATCTTCACGAACATTAAGATATTTGCATTCCTCAGACTGTACAATTATTAATCTCCTTATCTGGCTTGGAGTTCTCTGTGGATGAACATATTCCTGGGATGATCTGGATTTTAGATTTCTCCAGCAGACACAAAGGAGAAATATAAAAGAGAGAGAAATAAACACATTCAAACTCAGCATGCTGCTTGTTGAAAATCATCATTCTAATAAATTAATTTGACCTCTCAGTCTCTGTGAAATTAAAAAAGCCACCCTGTTTGAGTAATAAGCCAAAACAGTCTTGGGGGGAGGGGTGCGTGTGTGTGTGTGTGTACATCAAAGTCCCTGCTGTACTAAGTGCTATGAGAGGCAGGATAGAAGGAATCAGACTAAGGGAAGAAGGTCAGGGAATCAAGTACAAAAGGTGTCACTCGTTGCTTGATTGGGTAGGACTCGATTTTAGCTTATGTTAGTTCTGAGTTATCATGTGTCACAATATTAACTAATGGGTCAATTGGTGCCTGATGGATCGGGCAATATACAATAGTATCTAAAAGATATTTGTATGAATAGTATTGTACAGTAAATGTATTTGACAGTTGTGGCTAGAAATGGATTTTAATTGAAATAAACAAGGTTTATGCCAGAAAGAGTTGCAGCCCAAGTGACCACCACAGCCCCGTCTACAGAGCTGACAGTGATTGACAGCTGAGGGTAGCTGTGCTGCTTCCTGGCTTTATATTGAATTATGAAAACAGAGTAGTGTTAGCTGTAGAGCCATAATGTAACACACTGCCCTGGGTAGTCTCATCTTCAGTTCTTCCCAGAAAGGAAAAGGAGTAGTATCAAAAATAGGTTACAGGTAATTTTTTTAGTCCTTGTGAGGTCCGTTGTACTGGTGTCTGATTAGTAAGTGTGAACAGCATTGACTGACTTGTAAAAATACATGCTGAAGCCACCATGTTGAAGAATGAGGATAGCTTTGTGTGTGTAAGTATGAACTTAGCCCAGATGTTTCATCTGAAGTAGATGTGGTGGGCTCATGACCTCCCTTTCACTGACCACTACAGCCTCGCATTTTAAATCTTGAGCTGAGAAGTCATGTCTGTAGCTGTCCAGAGCAGCAAGGGTTCCCCACGGAGACCAATTGCAGACCTTGGCTTTCCTAGCCCTTTTAGCCGTACTGGTGTGTTGCGCCTCTGAAGTCACTCCCCAGACTGTATGCTGAACCTCAAATACAGTTCTGCAAGTGCCACCAGTTTTTTTTCTATCTGTCACAGATGCTTTCTGCTCAGTGTGGAAAGCAGTATCTGCATTTGTGTGTGCCCTGTGTGCTACACCCATACTTGGTCTAGTTCAAGTATGCAAGCTTCAGTCCTGGGAGGTATTGGACTGCAACCAGTATGCATGGATATTGCTTCTTCTTTTTCTGTTTTGTTCTTTTTTTTCTTACTTCCTCACTTTCTCTCTCCCTCTCTCTCTCTTTCAAAGGACTCTCACACCTGATGATGGCTGAACAAGGTAAGTCCTTGACTTTCTCTTTTTTTTCAGTGACTGATCATGAAAGAGCTTTGACCCTGCTGCTTTTCTGAGCTGTCCTTTGCATGAGAAGAGCAACTAAAGCTACTTGGGTGCCAGTGAAGCCATTTACATTTTTGCCTGTGTCCTGTGAGCCATGGCTACTTGTCAGCCTGGGACTCAGTTGCTCAGTAGGGAGTATGAAATTATTCCATGGACAGTAAAGACATATGCTTCCTCCTTCTATGCAGCCCACCAACTGTTTTATATTACAGTTTTTTTTCTTGTTGTGCCAGCTGTAATGATTCCCGCTTCTGCCTGGTAAATGTAGACCTCAGTGTTGGTCTGTATTTTTAAGAGTGCAATTATTACAAAAAATATGTTAATAGCCCTCATGGCATGATCCTAACTCATTATGAATCCTGAGCATAATTGCATATAGTGGCCTGTAAGTCCAGTGTCTGCAATTTAAAATCTTCAAATATGCACAGAGAAAAATGGTTTAGAAAAAGTACAAGGCTAACCCCAGTTTGGGCTACAAATGGGATCTAGGCCTGTATCAGAGTTCACATTTTAATATCTCAGCCTGGATTGTGTTCCAGATCTAATGCCTGTGACAGGATGAGATCATTAGTCCCATTTTGCACTATGGGGGTGTGGAGCATAGAGCTGATGAGGAGAGGTGAGGGGAAGTATGATTGTTTTCCTTGGACAGTGTCAGTGTCTTGCTGACACAGGGATGAGTTAGCAGTGCTGGTGATCCATTCTAGTCTTGTGAATGCAGAAAAGAAATGGCTGAAGAGTTAATGTGAGGTGTGTGCACATGATGCACTAGGAAGACCAACTGTTTGTCTATGGGGAGAAAATGTGAGTTTTGACTCTGAAGACTGCTGAGGTTTTTTTTTAATAAAAGAGACATAGTTTCTATGTATCTTAGTGAATTGTAGAGAGGAATAGGACATAATCAGTTTTTATTCTGTAGATCAAGGCAGATGTCTGCTCAGAGGTCATGAAAGCTTAGAAAACAATCAGAAGTGAAGTTGGGGCTCACTCTTCAGTTTCTGTACTGCTTGGCATCCCTGTGTGGTGGGAAAGGTAGAAAAACAGAGCTCTCTATGAGTGCATGTGAAGACCATGTTATTTGACATGTGGAGCATCTGGCTAAGCTCTAGGAAGCACTGAGCTCTGAGCTCCTTCCCTATCCCCACTTACGGTTCAGCTGGACTCATGGCTTTGAAGTTGAGCATCCAGCAGACAGGTCCCTTCAGCATATCCTAGTTGCTCAGGATGTAGCTGGGTACAGCAAGCCATTGGCAGAGGAAGGATTATGTCATGTTGGGAGCGACCAGGACAGTGAACTTTCATGGCCACTTTCAGTCTCAATAACATTGAACATGTCTTTGTAGCAATCTGTGGTTTAGCACTGGATTATATAAACAGATGTAGTTGGTAATTTAAATTACAAGTTGTAACCCAGCTGGCTCATGAAGACTTGCATGACCAATTCAGGCTTATATGATTGTCATCAGCCCTTTCTATACTCCCTTGCCTGGCAAAAAAAATGTGAAAACTCTTGGCTTCTGGCAACTTTAACAACCCTTATTTATCCGTGACACATCAGGGAACAGTGGCTTCTCTTTTCTTGCCAACCAACTCACAGATATTCCCTTTTGATAAATATTTACTCTCTATAAAAATATGATGGATATAAAATATGTAAATGTATATGTGTAAGTAAATATGCAATGTCAACATTCTATACAAATACATTAGCTCTGGTAGGTGAAATATGTTTAGCAAATATATTACCAAGAGATTTATTTTTTTCTGTCCTACTCTGTTGTTTCCCTTGCTATTCTGAATTTGACGTGGAATGAGGCATATCTCTGGCATGCTATTGCATGAGGGGTTTGCATTTCTCAGTAAAAGATCAAATTAATGCCAAAGGGCTTAACCAGGCAGTTGCTGGGTGTACTGTCAGTTGTTTAAGCCTTGCTTTGTGCTTTAATTGTGGTGTGTCTCTTATTTTTCCTTTGACATTGTATTTTGTTGGGTTTGGCTTCTACAAAAATACGGTCTTTTTCTTGTTCTTATAAGTATGGCCGGTGACATGGTTTACTGTTTGTTTTTTTTTATGCCTCCTTCTCTTCTCTGTTGCCTACTCCATGATGGACACCCATCTTGTTCCTCCTCTTAACTGGACTCACACCTTCCTGTCTGTAGGTAGAAGTAAAGGTAGAGACTGCATTCTTTCTAAGACTTCATTGCTTGTAAAGTGTTTGTTTGTCAATGGACAATTTCTATTTTTATAAATGTGCTTCATATTGAAACTTAATGCCTTTACTTTAAAAATTTTCTTTTGTTGAATTATGGAAGAAAGATTTATTAAGATTAATGCTTTGAGACCTTAACAGGTGTTATTTTCTCCTGTTCACAGTAAGTACTGTGTGGTGTCAGGCTCTCTCTAGCTGGTGACACTGGGGTGCAAAGTGACCACCAGTTCAGGTGAAAACAGAGCCAGAAGCCAGTGAGCTGGTATTGCCAACTCTCTTGCACTGGAGCAATGCCACTGCTGGGAATTTTGGCACTTGGTGGAAGCAGGACTTGGGCTTTTCCAGTATCCTCCAAAGATGGAAGTCTCTTGAGCTCTCATTTCTTCCCCAAGCTCTGCTTTCCGTTCTCTCTGTGAGTGAAAAGGTCATTTTCAACGAGAAACTGAGTTGCAAAAAGCTGCAGAGAAAACAGAAATGATCAGCATTGCTAAAAGATAGGTCCGTTCCCTTTGCAACTCAGTACACCACAGGGCATGGAAGGCTGCTCTGGGGCTCCAGCTTGCTCTTCGGCAGTTCGTACCTATCTTTAGCATGCAGAGGGCAGTATCCATCCCTAATTAAAACTGTGAAAAAGGCAAAATGCTGCAAACCTGTTCTGAGTCTCAAGTTGGACTGGAGCAAAGGGTGAAGATTAATTGATAAATTTAAAAACACTGCTTAAGGAAAATCCATTTCTTTGTCCTATTTTCCAATGGAATAGAGAGATCAAAAGGTTTTATTGTGCTGAAGCTCACTCCGTTTCAACAAATACATTGCTGAAGGATCTAATGCATTTATCAGCATGCTTTTAACACATTGAAGGATATTGGGTGTGTCCATGCCAATAAGACATTGGGGGATGAAATGACTAGTTGTACTACTATAAGTCCGAGAGGATATGAGAGCTCAGAGGGTTTATTCATAGTAACTTTCCTTTGAGGCACAAAGCAGTCTCTGCACAGTAATCACTCCTGTAATACCTGAATTCTGGGGAGTGAAATGGCATCTTAAACACCTTCTCTTTTTAGGATTCCTCTTTCTGATAGCCTGCCTTCTTCTGTCAAGTTTGTATTGTTGGATTCTCTGTGATGCAGTGCATCATATAATGCATATTATTTATTTCTGTTTTGAGCTTGAAAAAATATTCCAATAATTAATTACATAGCTTTTCTATTCTATCCAAAGTTAGGCAGTGGAGGATAACACATAAGCTGTACTCTGAGCTATCTTCTTAGCAAGAGGTGAACATCAGAATATAATACTCGCATATATACACTGTAAAAAACGCAAGAACCTAAAGCTCTAAGCACACCATACAAAATGTTACTGTTCCTCAACACAGCTGCCAATAATTCAGTTAGCTGATATATGGCTCAATATGATTTAAGGGTCAGTGTAGATCAGGGTGAGTCTTGCATGGCTTGATGTTAGCTCATAGTGCTCCCTTCTTTTCTTGGGTGGCATTTGTGCTGCAGATCAGTCTGTGCAGGACTAAACTGAAAGTGCTTTCTGAAGCAAAACTGCCAGTTAAGCCTGTAGGAATGAGGATTATAATATATAGTCTACAATTAATATTTAATTAGTGTCATTGGGTGAAAATATTGTTTCACTTCCCAGCTGTGTGTAGTTTTTAGCTCTAGTTATAGCAAGTCGCTTCATCAGAGAACCATAACTCTGCATGAAAAATGGTATTACCTTCAGTGGGCTCCAGCAGTGTAATTTTGAACCCACACGTGGCCTTTAGCTCACAGAGGAGGACCTAACAGGTGCCTGGATAGTTCTTATTTTTTGGCATCCTTATAGTTTTCAATAAAAACTTGCAGCCACTCTGTCTCATGCCACATAAATAGCCAAAGGATAGGATGTATTTGATTTCATAACATCTCTTCACAATGTGTAGCAGTCTGTGATCTTGCATTCATGATTTCAAACCAGGCTTTCATTAGTTGCTGCTTCTGTAGTAAATAGGCTTCTTCTGCATCTCTCCTTTTTAAAAAGTTAAGGAGACTTTTAAAAAAATAATTTCCTGGAAGGCTGAAGAAGATGAAGTGTAGGTGTCCTAGAGTAATGGCTGCAGTAGCTGAGATACAAATTTTAACCTGAACTGAGTATATATGCATTGTTTGCGTTTTTATTCAACGTATGGAACTGGTCAAGGAGATGAGGTAAATGTATGATGTAAGGAGGACTTTTATTTAGTTTGGCATGGATTGCTGAATACAACTCATCTGGAGAAGAAGTGACGAAGGACAATTATGTTGAGTCTATTTCCCTGACACTCCCCCACAAGTAAATTATACCAAAAAGGGTATCCTACTCTAATTTGCTATTGAACTGGAGTTAATGTGTAGTCATGTTCTTCCATAGAATTTGTTTTTCTGACATCCTTTGGTAAGAAAATGATAATTTGCTACTGTTCACCATTTAAAAATATATATAGTGGGTTTTGGTTTATTGTCATTTTTGGTTTGGATCTGGCTTCTGTTGAGGTTTGTGCCTCCAGAGGAAATTGACTGTATTCTTGGTAGGACTCTGCTGTTTTTGGGGGATGAAGTCCTGTGTCTTCTTGAAGGCAATAACAACACATTCAATTCAATGGGCCAAGGTTCACCCAAACAATGGAAAGTCCCAAATGTCTTTTTGACACAAAGAATGGCACAGTGGGGTGTGGCTGCTTACTTGGTGTGCACAGGACATCTCCATAGTGCCCGTGCAGTCTGCAGACTGGTGCTTCTTCTCTAAAGCACTGGGCTTCTTGCCTCCATCAGCATCTGTGCTAAGGATGAAAAACTAGCTGCACAGCTGCACACTTATTTTCAACACAAAGCAAGTTTTTTCTCCATTCTCAGAGAGAAATGAAAGAGTACTCACATATTTCATGGGTGGAACATTTTTTAATGCACATTGTGAAGACCAAAGGTTAGTGTGTAACCTTTGCCTACACAGGCAAATTCTCTGTGTAATTCTCAGCATTGGAAGACCAGATTATCTCCCTTGGTCCTAACTGCTCTTCACCCAAGTAGGTCTTTTAAATCTTGTAATGTTCAGCATTGCTCTCAGTGAGCAGTGTGAGGTTGTTATTTCTTTGAATTGTTCAATAGTATTGACCAGGAGTTAATGGCACAGAAAAATCGAGATAGCATTTGTGGACTCGGATAGAAGGAAATAACTGGACCTTACTGATCTGGAAAATGATTTTGAGTTCTTCTTCAGCAGTAATACCATTAGGATTTCAGAATAATGTGAGTAAGTCTATCTGAGTGGCCAAGACTTTATGCAAATGTTGGAGTGAAACATCAGAAACATATTAAATATTTTGTGCGCTATAAATATCTAATTATACAAGGTGAAAAGCAACACTACATTCATCTTGTCAGCCTTAGCAGTGGCTTGTAAGCTCTACTTTACCCTTTAAATTATCTTAATACTTAGGTTTTAAATGTGAATATTTTATGGTTTTGGTTTCTGCACTCACAGTCCATGCCTTGATACTTTAAAAATGTGTGGTATTTGATTTGTTTTGCTTTTGATGCGAAGAAAATTCCTGTATTATTATAAAGATGGCAAATTTCAGTTTTAACTTTCCTCATAATGACTGTTTAAAAAAGAAAGACTTTTATTTTATGTTTCTCAAATACCTAATCTGTAAAACCTCTTTGATATATTAAAGGTCCCTTGAATTTAGAGGCGGTTGTTCTGGAATATTTTTAGTAAGGGAATTTTTGCTGCTGGTTTAATATTTTATTTAGGGAAGAAACACTTATTTTATGGTAATTCTTATAAGTCTAATGAGAAACGCTTGACAGTTGATCAATTTCAAATGTAAGAGATTGAGGGACATTTCTACAAAGCATTGATCCGGTTTCTTTGTATTTCAGAGGTGATGATATTTTCCAAACTTTAGTAAATGAAGTCACTTAGATGTTGAGTACCAGCTCACACAAAGGAATAGATGTCTTATAAACATTATTTTTACACCTCTTTGCACTATATTTATGAAGGCAGACAAAGAAGACATTAAATATGTTTCTTTTAAATTACTTTCTGTTTGTGCATATGAGCATGTGTTTATAAATAATGTGTATGCATAAAATATTTAACAACGTGTTAAGTATTTTGTAGATTTTAGGTAATTAATTTTTTCTTACATGCTTTCTTTCTGCCTCATTTTAAAACTCTGTCTTTCTAACATGTGAATAAACAACTGATTCTTCATTGGTTTTAATTTCTATTAAAAAGAATAATTCCAGTGAGAATTAAAGGTCTTGTGGTCATGTTGTGTGTAAACATGAGCTAAAATATTGGATTTTTATGCTGTATTCTTCTGGTTTTTTTTCTGTAGTCTTCTGTTTTCAGTGAGGCTCAGGTTTCACTCTGCCCAAAGAGAATATTTAATTGATATAATTGAAAGGTTTTTGTTTTTGTTTTTCCCTTCCTCTGTTTTCTTCTTTCAAGGCATTCAGTGGTGTGTAGAGATGCAGAGGTAGCAAAACAGGCCATATGCTTTGTAAAAGGCAGACTAATAGCACTTTTGATGGATGTCTGATTTTTAAAGTGCTGTATCTTTCATTAAAATTTACATGAAAAGTAAGGGCAAGCACAGTGACATGAAAGCTAATGCAAGTTGCACATTTTGACATAATCACAATCACAAGAAACTGGAGATCCCAGATGGCAGCTTGGCCTTTGCCATCCTTTTAATAAGCTACTAACTGCTAATTATTGCACTCTTATGGGCAAGTTAATTTACTGTTGACTCTTAAAGAGACATTGTGCCTTTTCCTGGCATTTAGGTTTTTCAGTTCGGGTTTGGGAGTGTGTTTTCCCTGAAGATTGGACTCTTTCCAATGGACAGTAACAAAGAGGCAAAGAAGCAGAGAAGGGAAATGGAACACAATTAGCAATGTTTTATTTGATAATGGC